TAAGGCGAGGAATATCTGTATCCTGTGATAGTTCCTTTCTCTCTCACACACACAGAATACAGATATTCCTCGCCTTACCACAACAGTGGAACCCAACATTTCTCTGGCTAAGCAAGGCAGTTGTTAAAAGGGCTTGCACCCCATTTTACCACCGTTTTTTTTGCGCCAGTTGTTAAACAAGCTTTGCTGGCTGAGGAACTCTGGGAGTTGAAGTCCACAAGTCTGAAAGTTGCCAAGGTTGGAGACCCCTGGTCTAGATGATGTTGATTTCTGATCTTCCTTCCATTATCCCCTCCAAAATTGTATCCATTAAGAGAAACATGTTTTGTATTTGGAAAAAAATATATATACATATATTTGGACGAAGATACAGAGATGTGAACAACCACCCCATCTTTTGGCCAGAGAAGCAATACGCAGCCTGGATTTTTCTCAACATTTAGAAGCATATATCAAAGATGAAAGAAGCAGGATTTAGCCAGGTCAGATAGTGAAGGTCTCTAGAACAGAGTAACAGTGTTAGAAGGGACCTTGGAGGTCTTCTAGTCCAACCCCTTGCAAAACAGGAGACATTATACCCTTCTGGACAAATGGCTGTCCAATTTCTTCTTAAAAAAAAAACAACCTCCTGTGATGGAGCATTCATAACTTTTGGAAGCAAGCTTTTCCACTGATCAATTGTTTTCACTGTCAGGAAGTGTCTCCTTAGTTCTAGGTTGCTTCTCTCCTTGATCAGTTTCCATCCTTTGCTTCTTGTCCTGCCTTCTGGTGTTTTGGGGAATAGTTTGACCCTCTCTTCTTTGTGGCAGTCGCTCAGATATTGGAACACGGATATCATGTCACCCCTAGTTCTTCTTTTCATTACACTAAACATACTCAATTCCTACAACTGGGAAAACTTGGATTTCAAAGAAGCAGAAAGAAAATGGCATTGTAAATTGAGCAGGTGGGCTTTATCTTGGCAAAGGCTGAATAGTGGGGCAGCATCTAGATTCAAAATTGCTACTCAATAGCCCCATTTTCCCATTCCCATAGCCCACAAATTCCATTCCTACGAGAGATGGAGTAGTATTTGATGGCTCCACCTGCAGTAATTTTTAACTTACCCAGTTAATCATACCGTAGGAACACAGTTTGAGAGTATCTTTTCAACTTCCACGGGAGAGAAAGCATTGAATAGCACAAAAACACTAGAGAATTCTTGGAAGTTTGGCATTTGACCAAATCAATTATCAACAGGCACAAAGAGATAAACAACTTCTACATACCATTTAAAAGAGACAATTGAAAAGGAAACAAAAAGATCGAAACACCTCTCCACTAGCAACCAAGAGCCAAATGAGCAAAGATAAACACCAGGTTTAATATCGGACTAACAATCAAGCAGTAAACAATGCCCTAATCAAGGAATTAGCAATTCTGACAAACAATCAAAAGTAAATAACAGCCTAACCAAGGAAATGCCAAAAAGAAAACTATAGCCCCACCAACACTGACATGACAAGCCACTTGTATATAAACAGAGAGCAAATCCCAACTCCCTTCCAGCGCTGATGATGTTCCCTAGTTGGGTCATGAAATGTCTGCATGCAACCAACCAATCTCAGAGAGCACCAAAGACTCCATAGTTCTAATATCTTTATTTTTTATTTGATTTGATTTGATTTGTCATTCGCTTACAAGATAATAGGTATAAGAATATACTTGAGTAAGAATACAGGAAATGGGTATGAATAAATAGGGACAATAGGACAGGGAAAATAGGCACGACTGTGCACTTATGCACGCCCCTTACAGACATCTTAGGAATGGAGTGAGGTCAATAGTGGATAGTTTGAGGTTAAAGGAATGGGTGGGGTGGGGTAGATGATGTAATAACAGGGTCAGGTAGTGTATTCCAGGCATTGGCCACTCTGTTGCTAAATATATCCTTTTTTTAAATAGCAAAGGTGCACAACCTTGCAATATATTGCACTTCATATGAAGAACCTACGGAAGATGCTGGTGGAATCTATTTCAGGAGAAGACACACAGTGCATCTGGCCTTAGCCAGGAAATCCCAATCGATCGATAAGTGTTCGATGTTACTGTCAGACCATCCAACAGCATTTTCTCTTAATCTGTCTGAAGCAGAAGACAAGGATGAAAGTTTGCCTCCACTGAAAAAAGCAAAGCTTTAACTCTTAAGGTGTAATGATTTGGGCTTCCTTCTTCACAGGTTTTGAACTTCTCACTCTGATGGATCCGCGGTGAGATTTCTTCCCAAGATGAGAAGAGAACATGCCTGACCAGCAGATGTCACCATAATTTCACTTGTTAGCTTTCAAAATGGATGTTTTGCTTTCGTTCTGTGGAAGGAATGCCTTGGAAAAGGCAGTTTCTGGGGACCATAAATGATTTAATGCGAATGCAGGAGACCAATTTTTCAGTTTTTCTTTCGTTTAGCGGGCCAAGGGTTGCATGTTCCATTCCAAATGGAAACTGCTATGAGCTGATTCAGGGTTTTATTTGTTTATTTATTTTATTTTTCAATTGCTTACAAGATAATAGGTATAAGCAGGGGTGGGATCTGACCGGTGTAACTACCGGTTTGTGATTTTACATTTCCAGGTCATGTTGTCCCAGAGTTGCTTCCATTCCCTATTATCTTGTCAGAGCTGAAGAAGCTTCTTGGATGAGAAGCAAAACATCTTCAAAAGAAAAACAAGAAGGCCCAGTTGCCTTCTGAAAAAGCACCTTTGGGACAACCATGGCCTGGAGGACTGAGAATCTCTACAGACTTATAGCTATACAATTTGGGATGAACATCCTCTGAACGGTGTAGGAGTAGGAATGGATTTCCAGAGGGGGAAAAAAATTGCAGACTACAGGAACCATTAGCATCACTCAGGTGACACTGGGGACACAGATAAACCTCCAAGTGCTTCAACGGCCCTCTAAAAGGATGCAAATGACCAGCTGTCTGCAAGGAGTATAAATCCTTCCATTCCCCACCATCCAGTCAGAGCTGAAGAAGCTTCTGGGATGAGAAGCGAAACGTCTTCAAAAAAATAAATAAATAAGAAGAAAGTCCAGTTGCCTCCTGAAAAAAGGACCTTTGGGACAATGTTAAAGGAAAATGAAGGTAAGACTGGTAAAGGAACACAAGAGATAGGACATGATGTCTCAGTCCTGGGTAAAGCGGGACTGAGAATAATCTTATCTGGATTACGGAAAATCTCTACAGTCTT